TACTCAAAATTATCCGAAAAAAGCAAGTTAAGTTTATCGAAGCCAATTTTGTTGTTATCTCATTTGGGGTAATCGATCGAAAGGTGCTTGCAAGAAATTCATTAATATTCATTAATCCTAGTGCGCTTCTGAATTTCTTTTACACCATTCGATAAGAAACACTCACATCTACCTAACGGTTAAATACTGCTTTTTTCCGGTAAGAATTGAGTAAACTATGCCAAAAATATCACGAAACGTTGATAACCTGACCATAATTACCCCCACGTGACTCTGTGCATTCGACGGCGATTTTTCAGTTCCAAAATCGACAGAAAACAGATATTTTCGAGAATGGTCTTTTCAAGGAAGTAGAAAATCGTCGACAAATGGATTCTGTAAAAATTGCCTTTGATTTCTATTGAAAGGCATTTCTGCTTTGTAGAAAATTGACATTAATTCTCAGTCATCATCATACAAGTTGTCCCATGATGAGAGAAGTGGATCATCAAAATTCATATTTCGACAAAACCATTGAAAAAAACTGGCATATCAACTTTCAGCAAATATTGCATGTCCTATATACAATAGCAAAACAAAAATGTGAATGAAAACAGAGCAAAAAATTGATGTTGATTTATCGACTTAGTAAAAATTGATTTCATTAAGAATTGCATCGATTTTCTACTTTTTAGAATTTGTTGATTTTCTAATTTGTTATAAAATCGTAAAATAACAAATTGTTTCTATGTCTATGTTTTATAAAGTAGAAAATATTTTCAGTTTACAGTGTACGATTAATGTAAACGATAAACTATGTATGCCGATCTTGCAATGTTTTCTATATTAACAAGTAAGAAGTAACAGAAGCCTCTTATTCGCAAGTTGTTTCATTTCTTTTTCAATTCATTGATCCGTTTGTAACTAATTTATCAATAAAATTAGAATAACATAAATAGTTTTACCATACGTAAGTTGACCCTATCATCTGCGAAAAGAAAATATCTACAAATACATGTTCCTTCTATTTTTCTCTATTTGTTGTCTTATATTACAGTTTTTATTGGATCATTCAATATATAAAAAGAAAACTATAGAATAGGAAAAAATATTTCACTATATTTATATATACGTAGTTATCGTTCAGAAGAAAAACATAAAACGAACGATGACAAAATAATTATGAAACGAAATTATCGCTCTTAAAAAAAAATGCAGGTATGTATAATTAATCAATCATATTGATATTTTAATCGCGTGATGGAAATAAAGTTGAGATAAATTGTTTTGTAAATTGCACAGTGGCATTTGCATTCAAATAAATAATCTACTGAAGTTGTACAGTATGTTTTTTCCTAAGGTCATCCGACAAAAAAAAGCCCAAGTCTTTCGCTATTAGACCAGTGGGACTCTCTTTTATTGGAAACCTAGTGTGAAGTAAAACACTTTTTACAACAAAACAAGTAAGCAGTCTAAGGAAGCTAGTACACTTTAGAGCATCACATTTGACTCAAACGGTCTCTATAGTTTATATAAAACTGATTAGAGATATATCAACTAATATGCAATGTGATTCTTCTCGACAATTAGTGTTATTATGAGCACTAGTATTTTTGTTTTAAACGTCATCATCACTCTTACGTTCTAAGTATTTCATTTTTCACACTAATTCTCGCCATTTTCATAAATTTTGCACATTATTCTACTTGCAATTTAGTTGTAACACACAGTGGTTGACTGAAGTACAAGATTATACTAGTGAAAATATAAATTGGATTCAACTCATTTGCAATAATTGACTATGCAATCAATTTATGACACGCGCTAGTTTTAGTTTTGAATACAAGACACGATGGGTGGGAAACTGCCAGCCACTACATTAGATAATTTCACTTATCGACTTAGAGAGAGGGTTTTTAGATATTTTTTTGTTACTTTTCAACCGCTTAAGACACTTACAAGACAGATATCTATCCAATTTTAATAGTTTTTGAATAATTAACAAATAGTCTCTTCTTTATCTTTTATCACAATTGATTCTACTTTTATTGAAAATATTTATTTGATCTAGGATATAAGTATGGCAAAATATGAACGTCATTGTTCAAACAAATTACGATCAAAAAATGTGACAATTCGACATCAATTAGATCATCAACAAAGTCAGTCATTGAAATTTTATAATAAAAATAATAATAAACATCGTCCACATCCTCCGATAATGAAATCAAATGATGGTGATTTTATGCCAATAGCTTCATCAACACTGTGTGAAGATAATAATAGACAACAATCAAACTCATTTATATCGATACAACATTCAAGTCCAATTAATACTTACTATTTAAAAGAATGTACAAAAACACATGGTACGTTGTTTAAATTTGATTAATCATATATATTTTTTGTTAGAAATCTATTTGAAATGTTACTTGAAATCTGACAAATGTTAGTTTTTCAGTTTAAGGGTGGACCAGCAAATTTTAATTGGACTATGACCACTGATATACATAATAGAAAACTAATCTCTTTTTTTTTATCTCTCTACGAACACCACATACTGATTAAGCCAATATTGTTCGTTCATCCTCCTCGTGTTATCGTTATTTTATATATTTATGTCTGAGCCATACATACTTAAAATCTCGACATGATACTAGTATATTTTGTTTTGATAGAAGAGAGAAGCTATCAAAATTGTCAAGTAGTTGATTAACTTTATTCAATCAACAATTTTTCAATTTTATATTTGTAGATTTGTTCAAACAAACACCATCAACTTCTACTGTAGTTTCAATATCACCCACAATTAATTTTAATTTTAACGTTCGATCGTGTAGTACACCAATTCATCATTCGACAACATTTACTCAACATGTTCAATATTTAAGACGAAAAATTTTACATGGATGTAATAAACATTCAACATATTTAAATAAAAAACAACGAATATCAGATTCATCACATCATAAATTTACACTATCACCGTTAGAAAAACGAAGTAGAAAAACAACAGTAACTCTATCGTCGTTTAATCAACAACTTTTAAATTTTACTTTTAATGAGAAAGTACGACAATATAATAAAAATTTAAAAGTATGGATTTTATAAAAAATAGTTTTTTTTTGTTTTGAAAATCAATAAAGCGCTCGATTTCAACAACTGTTCTGATAGCGTAAGAGGAGTAGAATACATTCTTTTGTATTCATGTCCGCCCTTAAATCAATGCTTGTAAACTGTTCATTTTGGTGTTAGAGGACTTCTTCTGACATAGGTAAGAATCTCTACTTTATGTAATTAAAAGACTACCTACTACTGCAAATTAAACTACTTTGATGGCACGTGATTTGAAATCATCCGGAATGTAGTGGTCTATGTTATTTTTAATTTTCGTTTTTCTAAAGATAATTTTGTTGTCTGCATTGGTATGAACGCAGAATATGAAGGGCGGTATTTATCAAACGTAGAAGATTAAAATAATAGTATAAGACGATAGTCTATACGTCATGTGACGTTTAGAAAGTAATAAAGCATAAATGAAGAGCAGAATCATTTACTTAGTTGGATGTCGTTTTCAAGAGGCAAAAAAAGAAAAACATACAAGCAATTCGTAAGTCGAATGTAACTATGATTAAAATTGCAGCAATCAAGCGTGATTTTCTTTAAGGACTCTTCTATACTGCTTTTATTTTCTACACGATGTATCCGATTAGGATTGAGAATTTTAAGGATTGAATAAAGTTAACTATTTGAGCAAGTCCAGATATTGCCATACTTTTCTAGTTGTGTTCAGAGTTGAGTGAACCGGTGATTTGTGCAGCCTAAAAAGCTTATGTATCCACACTATGCTATTTTGCAAAGCTAAACTATAGAAAGGAATAATCACACAGTGGGCATCTAAGCGGACATTAGGCGAAAAAGTCGATTCTCTTATTTACCAAATATAAATACTGCAAAAAATAGCCCTTCTAATTCTCTATCGAATGGTGTATAAATGTCTATTTTGATGTCCACTCCTTCAAGACGAAAAAAGGGCATAAAGGTTGTATGGCGAATATGTAAAAAAGTGACATCTATGAATAAAATCTTAATTTCCTCTTCAGACAATCATGTTAAATTATTTTAAAGTACATAGTCGGAATCACCAAGTCGAGA